TACTATATGAATGACACTTACATTCATTTCTGAAGGAGTTGGAGAAAACAATTGATGAAGGCAAAGGAAACCCGAAGGGTGGATATACTGTGTTACCGCATCTCTTTAGCCAAAAAGATTTTGAGTGAAGGTGAAAAGTATCAAGATGTTTGTCGGATCGTGGATGAGGCTGTGAAGAAACTTGAAGCTGAAGTGGGTCCTTTGACTGGTGTACCGGTTGGTACGGGCAGAGGCATAGTGAACAGGCTTTCTTCAGGACCAGAGGTTCAGAAACTCTGCACGTTAGCCATTGATACACTGGACTCCTTGCTCTCCAAGAAGATCTTGCATCAATCGCCCATTTCCATTATACAAGGTAATTTATTTTATGTAAGGCTACTAACAATTTTGCTCATCTCAATTTCTTTTGACTATGAATATCCCCCTTTGTTGGGATGAAATATGGTCCGAAGAATCTCGATAGTAGTTTCATGAACAATCTTTTGCTTGTGGTATTTGATTTTGTTGCAATTCTATGAACAAATAAAAAAGGGGATTCCATTTTTTTAGTTATTTAGATTTATGGGTCGAATAAACCAGGGCATTAAAATCAAAGCTTTTTGTATTGCTAGCAGTTGGAACAGCCTCCGCATGGTCACTCAGTGTACTTGTGCAGCTGCCCTAGAAGTAATTTAGCATGTAAGATAATCTTTTGAAGTGATTGCTGATATATTCAACAGAACTAAAAAACATATTGGAAATGATATTTGTGTTCAATTATATAGTGTTTCATTAAAGATTTAAAAAAAAAAAAAACAGAATCAGTAACCTGTCTTTTGCTAATATTGCAGACACAAATTTGGTAGCTACAAACTTATTAAGGTTCGAAGATGTTGATGCAACATACCTTACAGTGGTTATGGGTACCGAAGATGTTTCTTCTGGAAAAACTGTTGGTTACAGGCTATGGCATCGAAAGGCATGTGATATAGATTACCCTATAGAGCCAACTTGCATCTTGTCTCAACCCAATTTGAGGTTTGTCGTCCGAGGACTGACCCCATCTTCAGAATATTATTTCAAAGCCATTTCCTTTAATGGGACAGGAGATATGGGGATGTGTGAAGTTCAGATCTCAACTGCTAGTGCTCGGGAGGATCACCCAGGATGCTTGGTGATTGAAAGAAGTCAGAGTTCGGTTACCAACGTTAGTGAGCTCTCTAATCCTTCTTCAGTAGAAGATGAAACAAACAATGTAATGCCTTGTAGCGATCAGACTGATAGTCAAACAGAGAACTATCTTTCTTATTGCAAAGATCCTAACAAGATCATCACTGCTAACCTGTCTAAAGATGCAATAAACTGCACTGATGTCGGTGGAGGAGAAACAGCAAATGATTCTGTTTATTTGTTGGATGAGAAACATGTTACAAAGAAAAGTGGCATGCTGCCTGATCCTAATGTTTTAAAACATGAAGACAAACATTCCTCTGAGATTCATATCATTGAAGATACAAGCGTAAACAACGGGTCAAATTCTGCCGTCGTTCAAGAAGGAACTAAATGCCCACCATTTGTTAACAGCTCTGGGGCTGGATTGCCAGCTACTCCTTGCAAGATGGAAATACTTACGGATGTTCTTGGAAGGAGTGGACGATCGAAGTCCAGTGCCACGGATCGAGAAATCGGGTCTGAGGGAGACAAACTCCGACGTGGCAGCAAATCTAAGAAGAGAAGTGCAGAGATTCGAGATGCTGATTGTACGGCAAATGGTATTTCAGATAAGGATTTTGAGTATTATGTAAAATTGATTAGATGGCTAGAATGCGAGGGACACATAGATAAGAACTTCAGACAAAAATTCTTAACCTGGTACAGCTTGAGTGCCACATCCCAGGAAGTTAGGATTGTGAAGGCCTTTGTTGATAACTTCATTGAAGATCCATCAGCTCTTGCAGAGCAACTTGTGGACACCTTTTCAGAATGCATTTCAAGCAAGAAAACATGTGCTGTGCCTGCTGGATTCTGCATGAAGCTTTGGCATTGATCCTCTCAGAAAGCATCAAATTTAATAAGTCCTAGATTGGAATTATATCGGTTGTAGGCATTCTTTAGATACATTTCCTTTCTTTCTTCATTTAAACTGTCATCAATTGAATTGGCATCATCTTAGCTCTATTTAGCATACTTATGGCGCTAACATGTCATCCACATTCGTCATTTTTAACATATTCAACAGATTTGTAGATGAGTATGATTTAACATTCTTACTCACTGATTGATACCATTTAGCAATTAACTTATGAAACTTGTTTCTGGGGTTTTGAGTGCCTTCTCAACATGATTATGATTTATACACATCGTTAACCATAAAGTGTGAAATTGACAGGCAATCAGGTTCATGTTGGCTACAAGTTAAGAATCTGAGTTCTCGTCATTGCTTGAAATGAGATTGAAACGTCATTTTGAGGTCAAACAGAGCTTCAACGATTGATCTTTCCAATGAAGGATGGAAAATCTCAGAAACTCCCGATCACTGTAGATTCAAGCTATGCAAGATGATGAACAAAGCTTCAAAGAATAAATCTGAGAGAAAGTTGGTATAGTTATCATGATTCAAATTTTTAACTTTTTTGATTATAGAATATTATTCTTTTTTTAATGCTATTTAAGTCAAAATTATCTTTGTAACTAACCCTTTAAAATGAAGACAAAGATTGAGTGTGTCTTCAAATTGGGTGAATTTAATGATTTCTTACAATCTATCTAGTCAAGATCTAGAATTAAAAAAAAAAAAAAAAAAGTCGCGGTTGATGCTCTGACACATTCATCAACATAGTATACATAAAATGGTTGTCTTATGCTTCCTACTTCGATTGCCCGTGAGCTAATTTAACTTTTAAGAGTAAGGTTCCTGCTGTCATTTCTTAGCTTCAGTGATGACTTCTGCTTCAATGGCTTTCATTTGATCCTTCCACTGTTATTTTTGCCCCTTACCCCTCGTTCTTTAATTGAGGCCTCCTCATCTCATTTCCATGCAAGAAAGAGCCACCAGTTGTTTGTATCATGACTTGTTTTCTCCTCTTTTTTTCAACACTTTTTACATTACACTAGAAGTTCATCTATCCTCTCTCTCTCTCTCCCATTTTTTCTGCATCCATGTCTGCTGGACTCTCTTCATGTCTGGTGGTCAGACGCATGGTTCCAGTGGCCTGGCATAGGGTTGGATCCTTCCGAAGCAGATTGATTTCATGTACACATTGCATCGATCCCTTTTTCTTTTAAAATAAGATAACCTAAGCTAGTAGGGTGTCATTTGATTTATAAATAATCTAAGGTTACTGATAAGACTTTGCAGCATAACTACCATCATAAATTTATCACATTTGTTTGCTCTAATTGATTGAATGGTTTCCTCGGTGTACGAACATTGATGGACCCTGAACCAGCTACGACTACGTTGAAAGTAACTAATCTTACGTTTGAGGGGCAAGTAGGAAACCAAATTCAATTCAAGCGTCTAAATTCAGTCTGTCAAAGCATATCCATATTCTACTAAGCTGATAGAAGACATTGCACAATGAATACAAAAAATAAACGTAGCGGACTTGCAGAATTACAAGAGCTAAAGCAACAGGGAATCCTCCAATTCTTACAATGGGGTAATATACCCCTCCTTCCATATTCGAACTGTGCCTTCAACTAACCCACATATTAGACTTGCAAGGTTTCATGAATGCAATCTTACACAGACCATAGAGGGTTCAGACATGTGTTTCCCTTTCCATCTTGAAGACCATGAGTTCTTATCAGTAAATACCATCCCAATTTCCACAGTTCTTAGCTAATACGTACACAACAAGAGAATAAAGAAGGTTAATATTAAAAACTAATAATATATCCTCCCCTGGTCCGTTTGTAGCCCGAGTTTTGGACCTTGTTAGCCAAAATGGAGATGATGCTTGAACAAGCTAAGCTTTGTGGCACAGAAATATAACCAGTATGAAAGTACCCATTAGGATGGTGCTAGCTAGGGTTCAAACAAGAACGTGCCTAAAGAAAGCCCGAGGAAAATATAATAAAATTTAAACTGCTTGTCTAGGAGTGTTCGAGCTTTAGAGTGGACAATTTAAGAAGCTTGTCATTCCATCTACTTCTGAGATGTTTATGTTGCCAAGTTCTCCAAAGAGGATCTATTCTCGAAACCCTCTAATCCATCTCTACCAAAGAAGTTGAATACAATTTTTAGTCTTGGGATGACATCTCAGAGCTGGGACCTCAAAGCTCATAAAACCCTGCCTAACCAACAACGATGACAAGCAAATTCGAGAATTAATGCCATCAGACAAACTTTCCTCTAAAACACTATTTTCAAAACGACTACCCTGAGGAACAACTATATCGTTTTCTTTTCTTGAAAAGAAACAAAACCCATCAACCAACTTCAAAGACACGATCAAGGTCAACTTTTTCTTACTAAGAACTTATTTGTTCAGATTAAGCAGAAACAAATTCAGTAACAATATTTCATTACCAGATAATGCTTGAGCACATAACAATACTCCGATCTGCAAGCATCTCCTGTGGTCAATGATCTACAGAAGAATATACTCAGTTTCATATTTTACCATTCATTCAAGTTTTAGCCAACAACTCTAAGGTCTGTCCTATTTCATGTATCAGAAAGTCTGACAATGTACCTAAACTCACCATTTATTAACTTCCATCCACCGTTGGTTTGTAATAGCCATAATAAGACTAACTCACATACGAAATCGATGTGTCCATCGACCATCTATATAAGTTCAATATAGAATCAATATCTTGATACAAGAAGCTGCGTTCCTATAACACATCCAAAGGTTATGAAGTTGCATTGGAAACAAGTACATCATTTTGTCTCCTTAACAGCATTCGTAATTCTGAAATTATAATTTCAAAATTATTGTTCAATAAACTTTGGGGTCCTTCAAGTTCATTTGATAGTACTATAAAATATATGACCCTATCTTCAACTCCTATACAAGAAAAATGAACAGTTTGTATATACTTTGAAATGAGTGAAAAGTTCATATTGCCACAGTCAAATAACTACTGGTAACGTGTGTCTAACAATCCTCTGAAACAGATAAAATTGACAAAGAAACGGCTGTCCTCTCGATTGTATGAGACCAGGAAGAGGAGCAACGAAGAAGCACACAATTAACTGAACAAATTTATCTGAACATAAAAACCGAAATTCAGAGAGAAGGCCACATGCAGAATCACTCTCGTTCCAGTGACCATAACAAAGAACCTGGAAACGCCCCCGTTGCCGCTTAAACTTCAATGCAGAAGGCAGTGGTCTGTGCTTCACAACATTAATTTCGAAGAAGCCCAGTAATTATATTTGTTTTCAAATTACAAGTGGAGCTAGGAAACCATGGAAACAAATAAATCAAAAACTGAGAATTAATAGACCTGCAATCGACTAACCTCGGCGACCAAGCCAAATTAATTATCTACCGGGTCCTCTCGGCCGGCAACGGTCGGTTGAACCCACCACGACGATTCATGTATTGCCTAGGCTGCCGCTTGGTCACTGCCCTAACGCCACTTACATCAGCACCAGGGACGGGCTTGCCCTTCGTCGAATCAAAACCCACCGGAATACCTAATTTCTTCATCATCTCAATTTCATCCTCATCAGCCACAGCCTCCTCCACTACTTCTTCCCCACCAACCCTATCTTTGTTTTTCTTCTGCTTGTGCTGCTCTTTCGCAATGCCATCAACGAAGTCCGACACTACTTTCTGCCTCTCCTTATCATCATCCACAGTCAAATCCCGGCGATGCCGTTTCCGAGCGTGTTCCGGGGACGGCGAGCGATGGCGGCGGCGAAGAGATCGGTCCTCAGGGGAACGAGAAAGAGAACGCGTACGGTGCTGGTCCGGCGAGCGGGTGCGAGAACGAGTGTGGCGGGATCTGAGGCGGTCGGGAGTGTGTGACCTTTTACTCCGACCACGCTCCCGTTCTCGGTCACGGTCGTCTCGATCCCTACGCCGCTCCCGTTCCCGGTCCCGGTCCCGGTCACGTTCACGGTGGTCACGGTCTCGCTCCCTATCCTTGTATCTATCACGGTCTCGATCTTTATCTCTGTCGCGACCCCTGTCCCGATCGCGTTCACGGTCGACCATGTCGGATTGGTGAAAAACTCCGGTACTGTCAGGAAGCTTGGAGAGAAGGGGCAGTCGGATTTGGGGTTTTTGCGAATGAGCGGGAAAAGCCCTTCGCTTTCTGCAAAATTACCGAAACAGCCGCTTAGTTTCGGATATCCGGAGGAGGAAGATGAAACCGGTTCTCGTGTTGAAATGGGCCTGGACAATTCGTGAAGAATGATTGGGCTATTGACTCTATTTATGGGCTTATTTGGGCTTTCGAATTCGGCAGATCAGATTATTTGGGCCCAAATAATCAAGATGGATGAATTTATGGGTCCACTTCTAAAGGGCCCAACTATGGTTGTACACATGTAACTAAGTATAGGTAATTGTAACCTATAATGTATATGTGTCTATATGCACTAAAGCCTTAATCCATTTAATTTTCTAGCCTAACTATAGCTATTAGTGACTATAATGTGCATAGAGGGGTAGTTTTCAACTAAACATACCCATAAAAATGGTGTTATCCATAATGTTCGTATATATTCATAACTACACCTATATAACTATTTGTACCTAATTCTAACGATGAAGTATATGTATCTACATGCCCTAACCATCTCTCCGAACTTCAATCTTTGTCTTTATCTACTCTATCATCGTTTCTACTACGTTCCCGAGTTAACCCTACTATTGTTTTTACATCCAAACCTGACTCTCTCTCTCTCCCTCACTTCTTTTATATAAATATTAAGAAATATTCGAAACTATTTAACTTTATACGACATGCTACATGCACCATCTTTTCTTAGTCATGTACGATGATTTTTAAAATTAAAAAAAAAAAAGGGGGAAAAATAATATAAAGAATTTTTGTATGAATGGGCTGGTGTATATAATTAAATAGGGGAGCAAAGGAATAGCCAACAACCCTTTTGGAATAAATAATTTGAAAAAGAAAATGTATTGGAATTTGTATATATATGTGAAAGGCATGCTTATACCAAGAATGGGGAAAACGAAGGGCAGCTCAACCCCTACCCCATCTCCCCACATGCATGCCCTCCCTTTTTCATTCTCTTCAGACCAAACCCACAAAATATAAATATTAAAATAACAAAAATCAATTACCTTTTTCAATATCCTAAAACACACCACTCCCAACACTTATTTTATTTTCACCAAAATAGTTATTTTTAATTTTTAATTTTTCAATATAATATTTATTATTAAATTATTAAAGAATATTTTTCTTTTAATGTAGGAAAAATAAAAATATAAAAATATATTTATATTAAGTGAGAAGAGATATAATCAGGCAAGGCGCAAATGGAGAATATAATCTCGATTTTAGCCTCATATATCTAATGGAAAAAAAAATGTTCTCAACTCTCCTCCATCCCTAGTTTAAACAGGGGATCTCCTTTCCAATTGGGGGGTTTCCATGGGACCCAGATAATTATTTTTACGGATTTTAATTATCTAACCTTTTATTATTTTTTTTTTATTATTTATGAATGTAGCTAAAGTTTTCATTTTTAATAAACAAAAAAATAATCATAATAAAAAATTAAAAGAGCTCATAAATGAAAATATAAAAATATGGTGGACAAATGATACTAAAATAATGAAAAAGACTATTTAATTATAATATTAAAATTGTTTAGCTTTCTATTATTGCTAAGAGAGTAAAATGAACTCGAATGTATCCAACAAATTGCATGTAAATGCATACTACGTATGATTAATTTAGGTAAAATATCATTATCTTGTTAAGTATGATTAATTTAATCAATAAATTAATGGGGAGAAATTAAAGAAATAAAAAAGGAAAAAGATGTGAGTTTGATTTCGTTGATGTGAATTGTGATGAAATTAGGTGTATGTATAAATAAGTAGCCTTCATTTTAAATGGGTGAAGGCTCCTTTATCTTTGTTGGTGGGTGAGAAAAACATCCCTTTCTATTATCTTTATATTAATTATGAAAAATATAATTTTTATGGATTTGAATATAATTTTGTTAAGAGGTTAAATGTTTAAATTTTGGCAAAGTTTCCATACATATTTTCCCATTTATTATTTTGGAATTTTGTAATAAAAGTTTTTGCTTTTACAAAAATGAATTGAATTTAATACTCCTATTGATGTTGGCAGAAAAAGACATTGAATAGGAACCCTATTTTAAGGATCTAAACAATGTGTTAATGTTTCTCGAAATCAGAATCATCCATGTGATGTGAGTTAATAAGGGTCAAAAAGGGATCATTTCCAAACTTTCAAGTTTAGTTTTAAATCTAAAAACATGAACCATTTTTAAACCATAAAAACATTAAATTGTAATTTTTTAAAAATTATTGGTCGTGTCTTATTTTATATTAAAGTTGGAATGAAATGATATAATTTGATTGAATAAAAATAAATGCACAAAATTATATATTATTTTGTAATCATAAGATGAAAGAAGAAGGCGTATTAATTAAAACAATCACTAAATGAAATAAATAGTTTATAGTTTAGTTAATGTGGATTAAACTAAGATAGGTGTAATAATTATATTATCTAGAAAAGCTGAATTAAATTAGTTTAATACGATGATTAAGGGGAAAATGGGGAAGAACACCGGGTGTGGCAGAACAGACAAAGACAGTCATCTTTCTTGAAGTATATTGTAAAAACTAAACCACCATGGACAGCGCCACGCGTAGTTGCGAGCATTATACAAACTCTTCTCTTCATCAGCTACGAGTCTGCCATTCTCTTCTTCTTTCTTCTCCTTAAATTCATTTTTCTAAACCACAAACAAAACAGAGCCTTCTCTTAAAAACACTTGTCCCTCTGTTTCTGTTTCTTGTACCTCTGTTCTTATCTCCTTCTTCTTCTTCTTCTTCTTCTTCTTCTTCTTCTTCTTCTTCTTCTTGTGCTGTGCATGACCTCAGACCATTCTCCTCGCAATCCACGAAGAATGAAGTACATAAGGAACAACAGCTTCAGACGCCTCTTCTCTCTCAAACGGCGTAGTTTAGGAGACGAATCCCCAAATCCAGATGCCTCTCAAAACAGAGATTGCTTTCTCCTAGAACATTCTCGAAGACCCTTTTGGAAATGCTTCTCTTTTGAAGAAGTTTTTGAAGCCACTGATGGATTCAGCTCAGGTACGCCAAAAAAAAAAAAAAAAAAAAAAAAAAAAAAAAAAAAAAAAAAAAAAAAAAAAAAAA